CCCCCCCCCCCCCCCCCTGCGCACGGCTCAGCAGGGCTGGAGGTTTTCTCCCACGAGACGATGGGGTTCGGGACGGTTCACCTCTACCTCGCAAGACCTCGACCCAACACCCGATAGAGGGCAATCCTTCCCTCGTTGCCAAGTTTGGGCGACAACGAGGCTGTGGCTTTGTAGAAGAGTAGTTCGTGGAGAAAGCGAATATTTGTTTTTTGGCAATGAAAAAGTTAGGCATTGGGACAAATCAGCAACTGGAGGGATTGCAGCGTGGGGTTCTACAGTAGAGTGTTGATCTCTACCCTGCTCACAGGTGGATCAATTCTTGAACCCGTTGGAAACCATGATTTGTTCGTAGCCAGCACCTGTACGTTTTCTGTCAGCACATCTAGACTAATGCGATGTCAACGGCATCGCGATCCTCAAAGAGCCATGTTTGTGGTGTGGGTGCTGCCCCTCCGGGTTTTTCGAGATGGAGCTTACCGTACAACGAGTTTGGAATAGCCTTGTGAACTCCGAGATCCATTTCATCCCTCCCATCCCGACGTAGGAACGTACAACGCAGCTTGAATCATTTTTGAAGTTCGTTCGTGGTGCTGAATATCTCTACGGGGTTCACCGCAAAGACCGCCTTCGGAGTAGAAAATCAATGTTCGCTTTCGAAAACTTTCATCTCCTCAGTTCTTGAAGGTCTTCAACTTTTCAACGTCGGTTCTTGGACCGATTCATTCTTTGGGGGAACGTGGTTGTTGACCCTTTTGCGGCTCGACACCTGCTTCGTCGGAGCGACAACTTGCGTACTATGCGCACGAAGCAAGATGTGTCAACACTGGCTGGTTTGTCTGTATGCTCGCTCTCTCGCACCCGATTTTCACTCAGTCACCCTGGAAACTTCTCTCCAAAACTCTCTCGAACCCTCACTATAGCAGAACCAAGTTTAATCGACCCTGACTGTCCATCGCGTTCACATGTCCTGTAGGTTGCCCCGCACGGGGAAAGCTCAGCGTACCGTGCACGCGAAAACGTGGAACGCCGCTACAACTACTCTGGGAGACTGTAAGCATACGGGTTGGGGTCGTCGTCAACTGTGCCTTGCTCCGCCGAGTCCAGAAAATCAAGCCTCCTGAACAAAGTCCTAAGCCTCGCCTCTTTTCGAGACGCCGCGGATTTCTCCTGCACCAAGATCTTCTCGAGCCCCTCGGCAAGACAGCTGGCTTGTTCCCGCTCGCTCTCTAGGCCTGCCACCCTGGTCGACCACCGTTTCTCGTCCTTTGCTCGGGCGTGCTCCGCTTGACGCAGGCGTGCCTTGAGCGCGGCGATCTCGACCTCCCCTTGTTTCGACACCTGCTGGACAGCTTCTTCTCGCCCCTTCTTGCACGTTTCTAAGGCCTCCTCGAGCGCGTTAGCCTTCTCCTTTAGCTTGTCGTTGTTCTCGCGCTCCGACGACAACTCTCCCTGGACCTCTACCAGACACGCCTCCGTATCGAGCAGGGCTAACTCCGCTGTCATCAGCCTGCTCGCCATGCCCCCTGCTTCGTGAGGCTGCTGCTGCGGGGTCTTCCCGGCGGTGGCTGCTACGGCCTGTTCTGCCGCCATCAACCTGTCCGTCAATTCAGCTAGCTTTTGGGTCCTCGCCCACTTCTCTCGCAAGTGGGCTTCATCCGCCTGCCCGGTTCCACAGGTTGATTCTCCCCCCCGCAGCACCCGCTGGCCGGGCATGTTCTCGTCTGTGCGCGCACGACAAACTTCACAATCGGGGACGGGCTTCTTGGGTTCGGCGGGTTTCTGATGGGGTGGTGCCGAACCCCCGTCCTCTACTTCTCCTTCCATAGTCTCGACGACAGTCTCACTCGCAAGGAGCTGGCCTTTCTCGTCTTGCGTCACCGCTGGTTTCGCGAGCCACGCATGGCGATCTATGACGAGGCGAGAGGTAAGCGCAGATATCTCTGCTCCGAGCTCGGTCTCACGCTTTGACCAAATCTCTCGAGCACTTTCGGAAGCACGCATTTCCTCGGCGAGGAGCGTTTCAAGTCGTTCCACCTTAGCCTCAAGAATGGCCTCTTGAGTGTCTGCCTCGCTCTCGGCCCTTGCACTGGAGCATGTTACGTTCTTCTCCATGTCTAGCCTTTTTTCGCCGAGAACCTCTAGCATCGCCAGTCCCTCGAGCACCTCGAGCATCACCATCCTCGCTGTTTATTCATTCTGCAGTAAGCACGCCGTCTGATCATAATTGCCACCGAAAGCCTCGCGTTCGTTCCTTGCATTCTACACAATTTTGAGTATCCGCTGTCAAAACAACCTGCAAGTTTTCTTTTTCCGTTTGGGGGGCGGGTGGAGAAACGATTGATCGTTACGCACTGCACTACGGACGACAGAATACACAACGATATCGCCCCTTCCAGACGTGGGCTACAACACTTGTCGACACCGTCGACACTTCTCTCACCGGGGAAATGAGTTGCTGTTTCCTCAAGGGTCGCGATATTCCCGAAGCTCGGAGCTGTCTTGTCCACAAGCTTGCCCCGAATACTTTGGCTATGCTTCGTGCCAACTCGCCTGGCAATATATGTTCCACCCGTCACCGCCACCTCAGCTGCAGTGTATGCCTCGGTATAGGCGGGAGGTGCATATGTTTCTCTCTTGCCGAAGGCGGTGGAAGAGACAGCACGAACGGGAACCCGGCGTTTCACTTTCGATTTGATTCCGACGAGGGTTTCTGAATCCGGGGAGGGTTTCTGAATCCGGGGAGAGTTCCTCTTTCGCCTTGTTCACCGGGGGGGGGTAAATGGACGGCGGTGGTGTGAAGGAGAGGGCTGACGCTGTGTCTGCTCTCGGACGATCGCCGGTACAGCACTGTGCTGTAGCAGTGAGACTTCGCTCACTGCAATATGTTTCCCCTGCTCGTGCCGTGCCCCACAGAGAGAAACCATGTGTACGATCAACGTTTCCACGCTGGAGACTTCGGGGTCGATGTTGCCTACCCTTTCACGCTGGCTTCGAAGGGCATGCAAGGAGAGCGTTGAAGCTGTATCTACAACGCCAACGTTACGCAAGGACTGACTACGTAATTTGAACAATGTTCAATCTCCGCCGAAGACTACGGATTCGAAGGAAGGACAGCGCAATGAGAAACATCACCGATGAATGCTAACTTGTTCGAAATGTCCGGCCGTCGGTAGCCCCGGTCAGGTCTGAAGCCCTCATTGTTTTCTCCACACGACAGGAAAGAGCAAGGTGGCGCACGAAAGGTCAGCACGAAGTTTTGTGATTGGTGACAAAACCTTGCGGCGCAAGTGAATCGCAACAGGTTGAGGATTATATATAGTACCCGCCTACGCGATGCAAGACCAAAGGGAGGCAGACGTCGCTTTACCGTGTTCGCCTCTTCCACGGTCATTTTGGGCGAGGGTCGTCGTTTATTTGTGAAGCACATGGCCCTACTCCACCCTTGGGGTGCCTTCCATTCCCTGTGAGAGAGGAACACAGCTCTCTAGTCATGGATCAATAAGCAGCATGTGTGCACGGGAATTGTTTGCAGACAGTCTCTCCACAGTGGGCCGCGGCTTCCACAAACACAACGACTCGCGCGCGTTACTGCCCGAGTTCAAACCCATGGGTGAGGATCACGCAACCACGCAGGACCTCGCCGGTGTCTTTCTCAGAATCAGTGCTAGTCAAAATTGGATGAAACTCAGTTACCCCCATGATATGAAAAACAAAGAACCTCAGGACAACCTAGGTACGGTTGCACTATCTGTACTCCAATCGGCTACACAAACGACCGCCCTTCCCTACTACAGTACGCAGGACGTGTGGAACTGGCTCCACCCAGGCAAGAGTGAAACTTGTGAGGACTTCCTTGAAAGCGCTCCCCATATACTACAACAGCAAGACTTTGGCGACAAGAGAAGCTTCACCATCCTCCTCACGGGGGTGCTGCAGATCATTGCTAGGCTAGGGGGGTGACGCCACTCTTCCCGTCGTGCTCGGGTCCGGTCATAACTTGTTTATGCCGCAGGGACCTATCTCCCTACATTCCTTCACCACGCCACACAACATTTTCAGGGACCCCATTTAAATGCTGCCCGGCCCCCCTAAAATAATTGCCGTCAAATCTTCCATTTTCCGCCTGCGATAATCACCGCCCCCCGTGTGCCTTCCAGTCGAAGCTAGGCATGAACTTCTCGTGCAAGTTCCTGTCCGCCAGACATGCCCGTAGGCGTTCCAGTAGTCTGCACACGCACATGGGTTGTCGAACAGCATGGGAAGGCGGTGGGGGTTGACATTGGAAAAAAGTGGGTGCGTAGGAATAAGGAGGCGTCGCTGCCATTGATTTGTTATCTTGTTTCTTATGAAAACACGAAGAATTAATCTCCTGCGCTACTATGAGCGGGATAGATTGGCAATGAAGTATTCATAGCGTTGTATGATGATCAATCTGTGCTTCTAATCGTCACGGAAAGCGACCGAAACTTCAGTGCAGCCTTCCCCGCGTTCAGCGCCAATGCTCAATACAAGAGCACAGCCCCGCGCAAGCAATCTAGGAGAACAGGTGTCAAGATGCAGTTAACCCTCAGTCAAGGGCACCATTGTCACTGCCCCAGTAGAGGACGACATTTTTTTCACAGGCATTGGTCTATGGCTCGCAGAACGTACAACATAAGGAGGATGTATCAACCATAAGGACATTCCCCGGCTGGTTGCAATTCATTCAAATGATTCTTCGTCGGCACCATCTGTAGAACGTAGACAACGCTGCTCGACGAAGGGGCAGGGGAAACCGCACTCGCAATCACATGTACCGCAAAAGGTTCGACTTTTTGTTCGCTGCGGGTGCTGTAGGCGATTCCTGGCAATCGCTCCCTAGAACACGTATTGTTGAAAAAACGACTACGACAACAAATACGCATGCCTGGCACGATCAACGTTTTGTCGTGAGACCACCAACAGCGAGGAACTGTCTGCCATTCCAACCATGTTGTGAGGAACAAAAATTGTCAGGTTTCGACAGTAGCCTTGCGATATTCGCTTGGTCGACAAGTGGGCAATTGTAGAGCACACGCAGGTACTGGTGTTGGTGATGAACAGCTAGGGCGCTACCCGAAATGACGCGGTAGTCAACATCGAAACCACCGAGTTCTCCGGCATCAAATTCGTCGCGTGACCTCGCTGCTGGTAGTGCATCTCCTGGGCCGAAGTACATCGGCTCGGGCTGGACAATCACCGGGACCCCTGCCAACATCCACCATACGCGAGCGCTCTGACCCCTCACTCGGTCATATGTCTGCTCCGCTCGGCAGTGTGTGCTCGTTGTCGAGTGACTCAAACGTGGGGTCACCGGATGGCCGCGATGGCTCACCTGGCCGCGGTGTTGCTGTCGTTACTCCTCAGCCACAGCTCGAAACGGTACACGTTATGGTTGTTCTTGCTCTTGTCCACCACCCTTGCCCCGCAGATCTCGTCCCCCACGTCGATCGTTTCCCCAACCAGCCCCAACACCATATTCTCCTGCACGTGCACATAATGAACGGGACGATATCATGCAACGAGAGGGAGAAAGGAGCTTCGCGTCCATGAGCGAATGGCGGAACAATCAAGGTGCTACGCACGGCATGCATTGACGAAAGCGCTGTGATCTCTTCCTCAGCAACGGCAACAAACGCCAAAGGCAACGGCCAAAAACGAGCTAAAAGGCAGAAGGAGTCATGTGCACATGAATAAATATTCATTCCAATGAGCCACGACACAGTTCCGAGGTTCTGAAATTCGGCCCGAGTTCTATCTCTTGCATAACACAAACAACTCTCACAATACAAAACAGCATATTTCAAGGACTACACGCACTCAGCTCCGGGAAGAACCAAGAACCGGCATTCAACACAACACATTCGACCGGTCGCCCCGATGGTCTAGTGGGTACGCTCGCAGCCTAATAAGGGCCAGATCATGGATTCGAGTCCCGACAGAGTGAGTTTTTTCTCGCGTATTAGATTCTGGTCTCCGTTCGAAGCGACGCGCTGCAAAGCTCGTTGTTAGTGAACTTGGTCGACTTCATAAGTCGCGAGGGCAGGGATCGCTGTACCCTTCTCGCGATAAAAATATCTCAGGCAGGAACCGCAGGAAGGGGTCCAACCCCCCCCTCCTATGTGACCCCGGTTGGGTCGTCTAACTGATGGAAGTGGAGGATAGGGGCCAGAGGGGCAAACGACAGAGTCCAATGATGGGAGAAAAAAAAAAACCCGACTAGATTACGTCCCAAAACTTGGCCTCTGGTTATGACTGCCAGACACGCGACGATACTTCATGGACAGATACGAGGGGGAAGGGCGGAATAAGGAACAATATGCATGTCACCCTGGGCGTGGGTTCGTCGAGAACAGAGGGGTCAAGCAACAAAATTAGTGTGCCCACGAAAATCCTATCGACCGACCAAACGCATCTCATGGGCGACAAATAACCCACGTGGTTTCTGTATTTGTCGGCAAAACTTCACCTCGAATCCGCAAGCTACCACGAGGTTAACAAGTATTCACGTACTCACTACGGTATACATAAACACAACCGATATAAACAACAAAAAATAAACAACGGCAATCAAAAATGGGTGCAACCGGTTTGCAAGACACACTCGTTCCCCATCGACCGTAGCGCAGGCCTCACCCAGAAAAGGTCGAGCGCCTGGGGGGTCATCTTGCTCCGGCTCTGCCACTCCCCCCCCTGGCTGTTCTCCGGAGCCTCCCACTCGGGCTTGATGCCCTTCTTGAAGATGCTGTACGAGTCGATCACTCGGTCTCCGACCTTCTTCCGNTCACCGGACCAGGCTCTCACATCATCAAGCGCGAAGCGCCGTGAGATGTTCGGCGAGTCCCATGATGGGTGCGCTGCATCCTGCTAAGGGTGTTCGGCATCTTGTGCTCACTTCCTTGCGTATGGATGACAGCTGCGTATGAGTTAGT